ACATCGAACCCAGGAGCTTTAACCCTAAAAGTTTGGGGCTGGAGTCAACCTTCTTGTACGGTTTAGGGTTTGGGGTTTGGATTGATGTCTAGGATTGTGGCTTAGGGTTGCGAGTGTAAGGTTTAAGGGTTAGGACTGAGGTGTTGGGAACACTGATGCCCTACAAACTCAAGACCTCGACCTCAGGCCCCAAACCCTAAACCCTAGCCCTCAATCCCTACACCCCAAGCCGAAAAAGCGAAACCTGAAGCCTGAACCCCCAATTCCTTAAACTCTAGACTCTAGACCCTAACTTCCAAAATTTCAACAAACCTAAGACCCAAAAGCATTCGTAAACCCTAAATTGAAAAAAGGCTAACTTCCTGAAACCATAACTTCCTAAAACCTTGAATTCCTAAAACCATGAACCCTGAATTGCCAGAAGGCGCCTTGTCGAAGTCGCCTTTGTGCAATCTGGACAGAAGCTCGCCAAGCTCCTTGGTCTGCTTCGTAGCCTTCCGCTCAGGAGTTTCAGAATCTATTTAAGAGTTTGGGGTTTAGGGTTTAAGGGCTTCGGGTTTGAGGGGGCTTAGGATGTGGGGTTTGGGGTTTTGGGCTTGGAAATGCAGGGTTTAGGGATGTAGGGTTTGGTGTTTGGGCTTTCGGGTCTGGAGTTTAGGCGAAAAGGTAACATTGTTGCAACCTTGCCATAGACCCAAATAGGATTCCCAACACCACTTTATCCCTGGACACAAATTCTGGCGTATTCCTTCAAATTCTACCTCAACCCCCTATACCTCCCCCTTAGGTCGCCCAACCTACCTTTAGTCCGTAGCTCACCTAGACTAAGAAGGGCACCTCAGAGTAACCCACTTTAAGGTCGAGGCGTTTGGTCTGGGATTCAGGGTTCAGGGCTTAGGGTTTAAAGTTTAAGCTTAGGTTCAGGGGCTTCCAGACTTTCAAAAAGCTTTCTATGCAGGATGCATGTCCCGTTTCTACAAGCTTATCTAGGCCTTGCACTTTCAAAGGATTAAAGAGAGCATGACCGCGAAGATGTTGTAGAATTCAGAAATGCTCTGTTACAGCCTCCTATCTAGGAATGAATACTCCCAGTGTTCTGTGCTGGTACAATACATGGATTACGCAGCGGGGTCTTATGAGGGGAACGGCTAGTTTGAACCCATGAAAGGGTGATAAGACAAGATCTGCAAAGGATTCATGGGCTTGAGGCTCTTGAGTCTGATCCTGTCAGGGTCGAGGAAGTAGCGGAGGGCGTTTAGAGTTTTTGTTTCAGGGTCAGGGGTGTAGCCGTGTAGCACAAGTTCTGGGAACAAGGCTTGAGATGCGTGTCAGTAGGAAGCAGCCCTACTCAAGCTTGCAAGGAGCTCCCTGAATGAGAACTCCCAAAACAAGGAGCCACGAAGCCCAAAACCCGATCCATCTCGGACTCAACTCAAAACCTCTGCTTGCTCTGCTGTCAACATAAGAGATCTGTTTTGGGTCTCCAGTCCAGCACGGTCCGTAAATTTAGTGCACCCAGAAAGGCCCACATAAATTGAACGACCTCCATTTCTTAACCTGCCAGCCTCATCATCGGCCATGAGCGGAAGCCTGTCGCAAGCTCTGCTGGGAGATTGGGGGGGTCCTGTTCATTGTGAGACTTAAAGACTTCAAGTACATTAGTAGTAAGTAGTTGCATGTTAGGAGGAAGCGGAAGGAATTGGCGATCTGCAGGGAGGGATTCATGCTGGACTCTGAACATCATAAGTGTAGGGTTTAGGATTGCAATAGAGAAACAACCCCCAAATAAGCCAGCCCTACAAAGGCTACTGTCCTTTCCATATTTGTCTAGGGGATGAGAAGGTTTGGTTTTGTGGCCAAGCAAATTCAAGCGTACACCAGGTGCTTAATGGATGACTGTTGATTTCTGCAATAAAGGAGCTTAGGGTGTAGCACTCTCTGAATCAAAGCCCCAAACTCCGTAAAGCCCTGAGGCCAGTTCTACGGAGAAAGAACTGGGGTGCACTATGTGGGCTAAGTATGCTTTGAAACCTCTTTTTGGGTGGCCCGGGGCAACTCCAAGTCAGCTTGCCAGAATGTCACAAGCTACTGTGACTAGACCTCCAGCACCCTAAAGCTTTTAAACCTGAGAACACACTACAAGCAAGAAAACTAGCGCGGCCATTTGCACGCCTTAGCATTCTATGGACTTTGAGGTGGCGGGGTGCGGATGCCCGTAGACTGGAAGATAATCTAGCGAACATATCCTCAACTTACTCCTCACACATCCATTGAACTGACACCGGTGAGGCTCCAAACGGCTTTCTGAACCCCCGTCGTCGTCCTACTGCCGCTACCACTACCTACATTACACAGCTCTCTCCGACTTGACATGAAAAAACTTTCCTTAACTCAATCCCCAAACAGTTTAAGTGCTGGCGTAAACTATAGACAGCAGGCCAGCTTGCCAAACTCAACAAACAAAATTAAAGACCTTGTCCTGCGATCAACCCCAGCACAATCCACACCAAAAGGCTCAAAACCGTTGGCAAAACCTAGCCAGGACAAATAGCACCTAAAACTAGTGTCTGAAAAACAACAATATGCTGACCATCTGCCCTCTATAAGTTCTCCTAGGAGGATTGCACACTGAGAAACCCATTCGCACATGATGTAGAACCAGCACGTGTAATAAAAACATAAAATTCATTGACTGCTCTGGTTGGATAACAAAAAAAGTGAACAACAAGGTGCTTCGAGCTCTTAGTCAGCCGTCATTTTTCCATGGAAGCCAGATACGATCAGGAACAACCCTCAATTGTCCTGTATCATTCAGAAATGCCGTTCCAAGTGGGAAAGTGAATTCTGGAACTAAGGGAGCTGAACTCAGAATTTAGCTGCGTTCCAGGTTCCTGTTGTTTTGGGCTGACACATATGGGGCTCTGCAAGAACGAACCCCAATACGCACCCCCATGTACTATAATCCTTGTCACAAGGAATCCCAAACAGTGGCCGCGATGGTCGGAAACGCCCGCATGGCATGAAGTGATGGGAACTGCATGCTGGGTCTATAGTTTGGGGAATCCCAGATACTGGGACGGTGCTGTAGTGAGCGTTCTTGACGCACAAGTTGCTGGATGTTCTCTCATGGACATTGTTAGTTCAGGGAAGGTGGTGTCTTGTCTGAATCGGATCCCAGATTCCCATAGAAAGCCATACCAAACTTTAAAAAAACACTGGAACCCTACACACGCTCCCTCATATGAGCGCCTGGGCAGGGCCAGCTCCGCTTTACGGCACGACAGCAGGTGGCAAGTATATCGTTACGTGTCAGATGGTAGGGATGGCAACTTTAGAAATGATGGTAATGGTTGTGGTAATTCTGGCTGCGTAGGTGGTATTTCTAGTAGCACTTGTAGCAAGTGTGGTGCTGCTACGTCAACTGCTACTACTGCCACCACGACTATACTGCTACAAAAACTATCGTACAACTGCTACTGCGACGGACGACTGTTGCCTGGATAAGTGTGAGAACTGTGGTGGTAGTGCTAGCTGGACTGTCGTGGCAGTGGTAGTAATGGTTGCAGTTGCAGTAGTAGCATGTAGCAGGAGTTGTTGTTGTGGCGGTGGTGGTAGCAGCAGCAGCAGCAGTACAAACAGCAGTATTAGTAGCAGCAGTAGCAATACCTTGAAAAGAATGATTTTCATACAACTTATACAAACAAAGACACGGGTCGCAATGGTGGTAGAAGTGCTAGCAAGATTGCCCGGACCGAGCCAGAGGATGTCTGTGGTTTTCAAATCAAGGTTGTGGCAAATTTCGGCCATTTTGAGGGGGAGAGAAGTCAGGTCAAGGCATTTGGGACTTGGGCGCTTCTACAAATAGCGGGGCCCCTTAAAACCAGGATCCTGCACGCTGCTGGTAGTGGCCATGACTCAAGACTGCAAACCTCAACGCAGTTGCTAACTCAACGTTTTGGGGATGATGGCCTATGGAACCATGCAACAGGTAGCATCGATGTGCGTCATACTATGTGGCTTACCGGGAACCTTGGAAGTTTGGATGTCGGAGTTTGGGAGAAGCTGCGATCAACACTTGCTGGCAGAGCAACATCATGCAAGTACAACGAGGTCCAAGCATGCATGCACAAGACAACTGTTCTGATTGCTTCGGCCTGTTTGTGTGGTACAGGGTTACTGCGGTCTGCGGTCATGTTGAGACATGTTGAGGGTTAGCATTCTTCGTTCCCTACTAGCAAGAGGCAAGTACCCTGCAAAGGCTATGGCAACGAATTTGCGTTTGTTCTGTCATACATGTACTCATAAGACGAGCTCCTACGCCAACTAGGGGAACGGTATTCCTGTCACTGGGTAGGGATATTACCAACTTGTAGTGAGGGCATTCACGGTCTCTCAACCCCCAAGATCAAGGTCATATGACCGTCATGTTACTCTTGTAGGATCGGTTGCCCGATCCCATTATGAACATGCCTGCCCAGAATGCCCATCAAAGCATCCGAGGGCTCCGAAAGCATGTGTTTGGCAACTTGGTACCAGCAGCAGGAAGCTTAAATCTAAAGCATTTACTATACGAGGTCAAGCTCTGTTGCTTTGAGAGACTTCCTTTCTAGGTCATTAGGGGCCCATACCACACCTAGGTTTACAAGTAGACCATGTGCATGTCACCAATCTCAATATGAGGTGGCATCAAAATTACTTGCTTGTTCTCTCTTGGTTTTTGAGTTAGGGCGTCCCCTATCGATTTCCACGTTTTGGGATCTTCTCTTAACCATACCTTAAATGAATTAAGCCTATAGTTTTAGGACGTCCCCTATCGATCTTGGGATTTTTGCGTAACGACTACCGCCTAGACTAAACGAAGTAAACTGTAATTTTGACCGCGACTCATATGTTCCTGGATTAACGCAACAATCATACAATATCCTTCCCAAAGCTGATTGTACGCAAGATGTGGCCATGCAATTCCTTTTGATGCATTCAGCTTGCCATGTACGCAACAGTCAAGTCGCATCTTCCTCCTTCTGCGTCTGCTCGCGATACATGCTGCGCGCGACCAGGGCTATCATGATTGCCGTTCCCATCGTGGCCAGAGCTACAACCATGGAAAGCATGCACATCTGAGTTGCTTCATTGCTTGCCCAGACGTTGTCATCCTCCGAAACAACGCAATCCGAGAGCATGGTCATGATGAGCGCAGACAAGAGGAGCCCGCTCTCAAGCAAGTTAAAGGCAGGCTCCTTGTAAGGCTGCATGGTGGCGTACAGAAAGCTTGATACGGCCAAAATGATGGCAATACTCCCGAGCTGAAGGCCAGGAACCAGAGTCACTGGAAACACCGTGCGCACCAGTGACAGCGACATCTTCCTTACAAGGCGCTCCGTTTCCCAAGAGGCATATTCTTCTTTGTAAGAACTAGCCAAGTATACCACGTGAATTGGCAGTGGTTTTGCTTTGGAGCTGGCAGCCCATCCCCACAGCCATACTGCTCCACAGAAGCACGCTGCAATCATGGAAACTACTGCCAGCGGCGCAAGAACCGACCCTTGCGGCAAGTTGTCAAGCTGCAGCGGTCCCGTGGGAGTAACCCGATAAGCGAGCAGGTAGCGTCCAAAGTAGCCACAGAAAGCAGGAAGGAAACAATTTGTGCCTACGACGAGAGACAACCACGGATCCACCAGGCAGCCACCAATCACAAGCAAGAGCGGCATGACCGATCTCATGGTGTGAGCGAGTAAAAGGTTGGGTGCAAAGCCCACGTACGCCGCAAGGCAGCCTGTTGAAATGCCGCCACTGTCTTGTCCTTGGACTGCATCGACAAGGAGGCCAACTCCGTACAAACCGTTGCGGATACCTGTGGGGTTCCATAGAGCTGCAGCAGCAGCAGCAGCAGCAGCAGCAGCAGCAAAGACACAAATTGCTGATAAAAACCAGCAGCCGCGGGAATTATGCGATGGCAGCTCGTTTTGGCATGTGTGAATTTTCGAAAGAAAGTAGGGTGAGGACTATGCGGGTCCCTGCAGTCAGGGTTTATACGGGGATCATCTTAAGGAATGCTCACATATATGTAGCTCGGGCGGATATTTTAAAGCCAAACTGGATTGCAGTCAGCCACATCCATGTGACGACATTGCTACCACACCGTCATATCGTAGTTGCTAACACTCAAAATCCTTTAAAAAAAACCGTACAAAGCTCCAAAGAATCTTTGCGGTAATTCAGCGCCTTCTCGAATGCTTGCAAACGTCCTGGTTTCCATCACTGCCATAAAGCAGGTTGCAGCAACAGTGCCAAATGACATCGCCTGGTTCAAAAGGACAGAGCTCCGCTTTTTCCCTTTTCGGGCACGGTATGCGCCCGTCACAGCAACTGCATAGATGAGGATATCCCTTCCCAGAACGTAAGCCAGCTGAAACATCCATTCCAGCCGTGAAGACGGGCATCTCGAGAATGAGAATGCCGTAGTGTCTGACATCCCATATCCTGGCGCGGGAACCGTGCAGGCTATGCCTTGATAGCCAAGAGCGCACATCGCAGAGGGTCCCGTCAAGGACAGATTGCCGCCAAGGCATAATGAGCTTCTGGGACAGTGGTGACTTAGAAGCATCCTGGGCAACTGTGACATACCATCTGGGACATGCAGCATGTATCCCGGTTGCATCTTAATAAACATGCGGTCGCAAGCATCAACGTTTGCCGGACAGGGAATGCACTTGGAGTTCTCGCTTGGCCGCATCTGAAAAGTCCTCAGTGCAGAGACTTGTGGGCCCTTCGACATAATATAGCGTCACTCATCATTAATTATCTCGGGCGGTGTTCACGATGAGGACAATACTCATTCCAGATCTTACACAAGGCACCCTCTTGTACACACATGTAACATTACACATACTGAGAACCTTGATAGAGTAGTTCCCAGCCAATATCTCGCGATCTAGCCCCATCATTTTTCTTACGGTGTAGGCACCATGCAAGAAGCAAACAGCAATCAATCGATTGGATTCAGCTTTGCACTTGGGCAGGCTGAATGTCTCTCCCCTAATTTGACTTGTACGATTCCTGGTCTAGCGGTAAATGGATGCGATAATGATGTTTTTTTCATTTTCTCCTTTTGGCGGCCTTTTGAAAGAAGCTGAATGATCCTGCGCTAGACTTGAAGGTTTCCACAAACCCGATCTTTTAACTCCCTAAACCCCAAAAAAACCAAAACAAAGCTTGAAATCTTCAACCCCAACACCCAAACCATCTGCTGAAGACGCAGCTGAGCTTCCCACTAGGACAATTTTGGCAGCCCTTCATGTCTGTGCTGTGGAAAGTCCCAGCACCTTCGCACTATACCGCAGGGTCAGTTTTTCTTGCCCTGCTAACGAGTTAGGGTTTAGGGCCCCCTGGCGTTAGTTCTTCCCCATACATCTGCTCTTGGGTCCAGATTAGGAATTTGGAATGATTTTTGCTAATGATGATACACAGCGAGCTTTATACACTCTTGTCTCGGTGCCTTCAGAGCATCGTAAGGTCTGGATCTGCTGACTCTTCCCCAGTGCCCAACATTGATCAATGGCGGTGCAGTCGAGGGCGTTGACTTGCAGATTCCTTGATCCAATATATGCCTGGGCTTCTTGGCTGTGTCCGCCGTAAGATAAGATAATCTGCTCTGCCAAAAGGTCAGCACCTGATGCTATGGGATTCACGGCCTGGTCTATGCAAGCATGTATATACAGCCGTGACAGATGTATTGAGCCAGCAGAAAAAAGCGCTGACCTTTCTACAGCAGTACAGTTCGAGAACTGCAGGGATGTCTTGTCCGAGTGGGTCACTGAGCCACTCCCAATGTACAAGCCTCCTCCTGAACGTCCTGCAGAACAGTTTGCGAAAACTGCCTCAGCCTTCAAAAGGGCATCGCCACGCCAGACAATGGCTCCTCCGCCCCAACCACTTTCGGCAATACATGAATCAAACTGAAGGCGGCCTCCCAACACCTAGGCCGCTGTGTGGGTTGCCAATGGAATCCCCGTAGTTCCTGGTGTACTAGCCTGTCCTAGCAGGAATAACACCAAAGAGGTCTGCTTTAGGCTTGGGGCTGTGGGCAGCAAAGCGGTACACATGGTCATAAGTGTATTCCAAAGTTTGTGTTTGGAATCCATCCGAAAAAAGGCGCGTGAAAGAAGGCCGGTGAAGTACCTTGCAGCTGGGATGTACACTTGCACACACGTGGCAGACAGATGACGAGCATTCCAGGTGTAGCTAAGACGACAACAGCCGGCCGGCCACTGCTACCTGTAAAAGCAAACATCGCACGAGCCAACTGCCGTGCGCATGACTGCCGCGACACGTCTATGCCAGATGCACATGTTACGCTGCATTTGGCGCCGTGACATGTCACAAGCGCTAGCCGCAGTCCGCGTATGCGAGTTGTGCGGTTGTTATGCCTTGAACATCTGGCATAGTTGCAGGTCCAAAAGAGAATCATTCCCGCAGAGACTCTGTTTGGGCCCAGCTGGATCTCGGCCGCTCACGGGACCAGCACCCTGATGGAGGCCGATTTGAGCACATGTCTCCCCAAGACATTTCAAGGGTGGTAGATGCACACCATGACACCTCCGCCGCACGGCGCCCAGCCGCATCCCTGAGATATCCGACGATTCAGAGTGAGATGGTAGACACATTCCACGCAACCGACCAGTTTGTGAGACAGTCGAGAATTCCACCGATGACAACACAGTCTGCTTTTCTTCCACATGCATGTCTTCTACATGTTTTTCACTAGCTTTTCCAGTGCCGAACCGCTCAAGGAGAAACCATCCAGATAGTTTTGGGAAAAATCAAGAAGTCAACCTATTGAATACCAAAAAGTCCCAAAACAAGAGCCTAGACGCCTTTAGGCCTGCCTGACCTCCGTGGGCTTGTCCGACATGAAGCCCTCCACCACTCGAAGTTGCCACGCAGTGTGTGAAGTTCATAGTAGAATTGATCATGGTGACATCCCCAAAGGGAACGCTTACTCCGCCCCCAAATGATTCCCTGCCGTGGCACGAAGTAAAGTGGCCTGCAACACCTGGAGGGTCTCAAACGCTGGGAGCTCTTCATGCAGCCACCGGAAGAGGGATCACTTAGGGCCACTAAACTATTGTTTCAAGAAATTCCAAGACTGAAGGTGGTACACGATTTACTGCATCAGCAGTATCTTGGGGCGAGAACACCGACTTTGAAACACAGCCACCCGTCAGAGTCAGGCTGCCGCGAGAAATTCTCCAGCCTCCCCCGTTTTTGCCGGCTTCGCACCCAGCCACAATTACAGCAGAATGCTTGACCTGAAGTCCAAACTTCCCCAACAAACATGTAAGGCTTTTTTCTGGCCGGTATATTATGTGCTACTTATAGGGAACCCTAAGACTAAAATCATTTCTTCCACATGGAGTCCGAGCTACTTCCACATTGGCGTCCCCAGTGGCCAGGCCTCCTCCATCACCCCGAGCAACGCAGCTTTGAAACCGTAAGGCCCCTTTCCTTGACTGCTTGAAGCATGTATCCAGATTAAGTTGAAAGAGCTAACGAAGAACAACAAGTCTAAGAAGGAAGCAGGCCAGACAGGGTCCAGTTTCTCGAATGTGAAGTTCCCATGCTCCAATTCCATTCCACCACCGTCAACAGTAGCACGATCATGTGCGAAGGAGAACGTACATCCTGACGCGCGAATAACGCTGCGCGTCATCTTGATGCCGGCACCCGATCCCGCTGTGCAGTTTGTAAACGACATGTTTGAGTCCTCTGCTGCGAGCTCGGAACCAGGACTCCCGCTGAGGCCACCACCGTCAACACCTGCTGAGCAAGCACTAGCTAAAAACTCGGAGGTCTGCAACCGAAAGCTTCGTCCAAAACGCACACCTCCACCTGCATCGTTCGCGCGCGTGTCGGTAAGCTGGATGATACTGCCGTTGACGTGCAGTGCGTCTAGCACAAGAAACCCTCCGCCCTTTTTTTGGGCTTTGCAGCTTCGCACATGCACCGCACTTTGGGAAAAGGTGGCAGGGCCCCGCACCAACATGGCACCGCCGTGAGCTGAGGAAGCACAGCCGTCAAACGTTTGGAAAGCTCCTTCTACTTGAAGCGCTCCAGAAAAGGCGCAGCCACCGCCAGTGGAGTCACCATTTGCTTGGGTAGCATTACATCTGGAAAAGCTCACAACACTGCGTTCTTGGAGACACAGTCGCTCCACCTGAACAGCCCATGCGGAGGTATGTTCAATTATGGACAAAATGTGCACTGACAATCCATTTGGGGGAGCAAACTCAGATCCAATCCAAATCTAAGCACATTACTGTCGCACTCAACACGGCAGCACGAGCTAGAACACGCGAACAAAATGGTTTGAACAAGTCCACACCTACTACCAAGGCTTGCTGTCAAGACGCCCAAACAGCACCGCCAGCTCCAGCACTGCAATCTTGAACGCGCACATGTTCCTGCTTGGAACCGCGTTGAGCCTTCACAGCGTCCGCCAGTATCCGCAAAGAGTCCTCAACGTAAGCACCGCCCCCGTGGCTTTCTGCCACGCAACGGCTTATCACCACCGCAGCTTCTCTGAACGTGGCGTTGCCTCGAGCAAAGATCCCACCACCAACACCAGCAGATGTGCATCCTTCCAGCTTCAGCGCGCCAGTGTCCACGTGCACATGCTTTGAGTTGATGCATCCACCGCCGAACTTTGGGTTGCCCCGCTTCCGGGAAAAGGGATGAGATACTACTTTGGTGGCTTGGCACTCTGAGCAGCCCACCAAGGCCCCATCTTGCAGAAAATGATGCCTTGCCTCAGTAGCAGAGGGCTTCTACCAGCATGCATGATTGGATCCCAGAACTTCTGAGGATAGACTACTGGGTATTCTTTGTCCTACTCCCAACACATATGTCGAAGGATAATCCAAAAGCCGTCTAAGAAAGGATGTAGCTCACGTTAAATCCCACCAAGATACCCATACAGCACCGCCCTCTTCAGCACTGCAATCCTGAAATTCCACGTCATTCCGGGCCTGTTGCTGGGAAACTCTGTTCAGAGGCTCTCCCACTATCTGCAAGGAATCCTCGATGTAAGCACCACCCCCTTGGCTTTCAGCCGTGCACTGGCGGATGCCCAGCTTAGCATGCATGAACGTAGCATTGCTACGGGCAAATATGGCCCCACCTGCTGAAGCGGATTCACCTCGGGATTTCTGGGCGTAGGGATACAGTTTCGGGTCCACAGGGATGTACCCATGATGTATGGGAACTGGATAAGGGAATCCATTTGGAGCCACCCACGAAAACTACCTAGGTACCATTTTGAGAAGCTCTGACATTCCTTCAGCTGCATAGACCCGCTGTCTACCACAAGCTGCAGGGCATTGATGCATCCTCCTCCATACTCCTGGCTTGCTGTTACCATAATAGGTATACATAGTAATTAATAGGGCTTTCCCAACAGTAACTTGAATTAAGATCCTTAACAGCAACCCAGACTCTTGGTCGTCATCCTGACCCCAAAGGCTGGATGGTTTG